GTCCTGCACCGTCCAGATCTCGATGTAAATGAGGGCCCAGATTGGCCAGAAACTGTATTCCTCCCGCCCTGAATGTTGTCTGGGTACCTGAATGTTTCCGACCATTGGCCTGGGCGCGGTACCTTGGACTCTACAGTCGACTTTGACTGTTGAATTTCCTTTGTGCCGCGTTCGGTCACACAGCCTCCTCGACAGACTCAGGTTGGGCATGTCTCGGTCACATAGCCCAGCACAAACAACCGAGTCTGTGTCTTACCGGGGGCAAAGTTCTGAGCCCCGGTCTGCTGCTGAACAGGGTTACTTCATCTGTCTCCGGGTACCCCCTGCGGCGGCACTAGTGAGTTGCCACGTCAGCAGGCCATGTCAGCAGACCACGTCAGCAGGCCATGTCAGCAGGACACAGCAGCCCAACAGTGCCACGTCAGCAGCAGGGAGTGCCACGACAGCAGTCCTCCGGCCTCATCAATGCTCATGCGCTTACAAACAGCCGGCATGGATCAGAAGTCCGGGGATACGGACGAGGCCTATCAGGCCCGAGCAGAGATCAGCATCGGCCGAAAGTGGTCGTGGTCGCGGCGGCAACGGCAACCGACCAATCTAGCGAGGCCGTGTCTGCCAACGAAGGGGACAGACTCGCAGCCGCCAGGGATGGTGGCCGCCCCGGCAGAGGCCAAGGACGCGGCAAGATGAAGACAAACACCACATTTATCCCCGGGCCCGGCGTAGCAGCTTCAGCCCCATGGACCCACTACGGCCAATCGGGAAACTGGGCACCGTTGGGAGTGACTCGACGACACTCTCGACATCTTCGGAACCGGTCGCTTCGCCCCACTACGGCCNCGGTCGCTTCGCCCCACTACGGCCAATCGGGAAACTGGGCACCGTTGGGAGTGACTCGACGACACTCTCGACATCTTCGGAACCGGTCGCTTCGCGGGTGACCGCCCTTCGTTCCGAGGCACATGCGGGAGTCGATAGTCCTCTTTCATGAGGACTATGCTGCCCGGCTCGTTCCTGCGCTGGGTTCTCATGCTCAAGGACAAGACGTGTGCGCGGCATCTTCTCCGTCCGGCAGCGGTGACTTATCATCTTCAAGTGGTTCTTCACAGGATTCGGTGCGCGAGTTCAACATAGAGGAATTGGACCCGCTCACGTCCGAGGAATTCACATGGCTTCCTCTCCCGACCACGGGCCTCTTGCCGAGACCGCAATGCGCAACATTATGCGTATCTATCCTTCTATGCACCACCAACTTCGCCGACGGATGACGAAGTCGCGGTGGGGGACATCCTTGCGTATGTTACCAAGGTGGCCCGCGAGTTTCGCAAGCAGCGGTACGATGACAACAACGCACCGCTCCTCTATGTCCGCATCCAAGTTGGGCAAGCGTCCTGCAGCGCTTTCCTGGATAGCGGCGCGACTCGCAATTTCATGAACCAAGCCTTTATGCACAAGGATGGCCTTGGCGCACAAGTTCGGAGGAAGGCAAACCCGACGGCGATCAAGTTGGCAAACGAAAGGACGCAACAACTTATCGACCGCTACATCGAGGCCGTACCGGTGTATTTTGCACCTCATGCATGCGAACCGGTGACGTTCGACATTTTGGACACAGACTTCGACATTCTTTTGGGATTGCCTTGGCTTGCAAGTGCGGATCACACGGTCAACTTCCACCAGCGGACTCTTAGCGTTCGTGACGCCTTCGGCGCCGAAGTGCCGTGTACTATTCCTCTTCCGCACCCTTCGATTCGGTGCTGAGTGGTGACGGTCGATTCTTCCCCCACGGCCTTGTCTTCGGACCCCCGTGTGGTGCGGGGACTTGACGAGTTCACCGACATCTTCCAGTGTGGTGCCGGATCGGCCGATCCCTCACAAGATCATTCTCGAGGCCGGTGTCGTGACGCCGAACGGCTGCATTTACCGCAGCTACGACAGCAGACTGACCGAATACTTGGTACACTTTGTGTACTGATGCAAGGCAAGCCGGTTTCTTCGGCTCCACGTCGCACCCGCGACCAGGTTTCACCTTCAGATCGTCAGCTTCGCCCTCGACCCGGCTTGACTTCATAAGTAGGGGGGGGGGTTACATGCCGTGCCTGCAACAGGCTGCATGGGCCATTTTCAGGCCCATGTCTGTTTCAGCCTGACAGCCTGAAAAACAGGACCTACAGGCCCCGTGTCTGTTTCAGCGTGACAGCCTGAAAACCAGGGCTTACAGGCCCCGTGTCTGTTTCAGCCTGACAGCCTGAAAACCACGGCCTACAGGCCCCGTGTCTGTTTCAGCCTGACAGCCTGAAAACCAGGGCCTACAAGCCCCGTGTCTGTTTCAGCCTGACAGCCTGAAAACCAGGGCCCATAGGCCCCGTGTCGTTTCAGCCTGACAGCCTGAAAACAAGGGCCTATAGGCCCTCAGGCTTTAGCCAGAAGCTACCTGGAAACTTCTCGGAAGCTTCCTCAGGCTTTAGCCAGAAGCTACCTAGAAACTTCCCGGAAGCTTCCTCAGGGTCTAGCACGATTGGGCATTCGCTAGAGCAACCTCCTGGACGGGCCAGCACTATATAAGACTGGCCCGCCCTGCAGGCTGCAGGTAGTTGGGAGGCAGTGGTCTTCAGGATTTGGCAGCAGCACTCTGGAGTAGCGCTGCAGGAGTAGTAGTAGCATTAGCACTAGTCTTCAGCACTAGGCGCTAGTAGCGTAGTTGTAGTCTTCATCGCTGGGCGCCATAGCTAGGGTAGTACTAGAGAGAGAGAGATTGGGCGGAAGCCAGGGATACTTACCTGTAGTGCCGTTGCTCCAGCTTCGTCTTCGAGGTACCTGCAGCACCGCGCCAACTTCACAGGTTAGTACCTGGCTCGTGAGAGAGAGAGTTCTTCTTCTTCCWCTTCTCRGTCCAYCATCTCCTTCTCACCCTCTCGCTATCTGACTTCACTGCATCAGCAGACTACGAGAGAGAGAGAGAGAGAGAGAGAGAGAGAGAGAGAGAGAGAGAGAGCTTGGTGACATTTGGATCCAGACTCGACATTGGACTTAAGACATATCGAAGAGGGATTGTTTGGGACTTGTAAGGAGACTTGGTGTTGACGACTTTCCCATCTCCCCCTTCCTCTTCTTCGTCTGATCCCCTCCTCTTCATCTGTGTATGTACCTGGCGCCTCTTTTCTGTGTATAGCGCCAGGCCCCTTCACACTTTGTGATGGGCGTGATGTATGTTTGCTCTGCGTTGAAACATTGATTGGGCTAGTCATTAGTACTCTAGCATTCTGCTTCGCTATCTTATACTACGTGAAAGAGGTCAGTCCCGGTCACATCAACGCTTGGTCGTGTGGGGGTGAAAATCGGATATGAAACTAATCGAAAAGCAGATACTACACTTGATCGTGTGGGGGGTTGTGGGGATGAGGCGCATAGTTAGTTAGGTTGAACGAGCATAGTTATTTAGGTTGGGTTCTCTCTCTCTCTCTCTCTCTCTCTCTCTCTCTCTCTCTCTCTCTCTCTCTCTCTCTCTCTCTCTCTCTCTCTCTCTCTCTCTCTCTCTC